AGCACAAGTATGAGGTCACCAACTTTGAATGTCCTTGGGCGGACCAATTTGTCATGGGCTTGTACCATCTTCGCTTGGTAAAGCTCCAAGTGTTGTTGTGCTTCTAGTCATTTTCCCTCAAGAATTTCCAGTTCTTCAAGTTTGAGTTTTGCACTTTCTCATGTTGTGAGTTGGTTGACAACAACAACTCTAAGAGATGGTGTCTGGATTTCTAGCTGTAGCACGACCTCGGACCCGTACACGAGCATATAGGGTTTACACTGAGTGAGATTCCTGAAAGTCTTCTGGTAGGCCCACAAGGCTTCTAATAGTTTATTGTGCCATTCCCTTTTCTTTTCATCCAGTGTTTTCTTCAAAATCTGTACCAGTATTTTGTTGAAGGTTTCGACCAGACCATTTGCTCTGGGATAGTAAATCGTAGAGTATCTCCAATCTATCTGTGTTTTTTGACAAAATTATTGATTTTGGTGCTTTTGAAAGCTGTCCCTTTGTCAGAAATTATTCTTTGTGGTACTCTGAAACGGTAGACAATTTGGCTTTTGAAGAATTGAAGGATGTGCTGTGTTGTAACCTCATGCACGTTACTGCCTCTACCCATTTGGGGAAGTAATTTATAGCGGCAAGTAAAAACCTGTGTCCTTTGGAATATGAAGGGTCTATTGGACCTATTATGTCCATGCCCATGCCCCAACACTCGAATGACAACACCCGAATGACCACGAGGCAACATTTGGGTGTAGCACATTCGGAGGCTGGTGTATGACAACCCCATACACTTGGCATTTGTGACATTTTCTGGCTGTATCCATGTAATCAGACATCATTTTTGGCATATAATATCTGAGCCTTTTGATCTTTATTTTCATTTTCGACCCTGACTGATAAGCGCCACATAGTCCGACATGTACTTCTTTGACAATATTCTGTGCTTCAGCTTTTTTCGAACATCGTAGCCACATCTGATCGAATGATCTTCTGCAGAGAACATTTCCCGCCAGGGCGTAAGACATGACCCTTCTTGTGATATGATGTTCTTCAGACTTGTCTTCTGATAACTTTCCAGTATGCAAATATTCTATTAATGGCTTGCGCCAATCTTCATTGATGTTTGCAACTATATTTATTGCTTCTTCTTTTTTGAGCTTGTCTAAGGTTTCAAGGTTGATTTGAGACAAGACATATCTTCCTTGTATTGTAATTTCAATGGAATCCTTCGAGGGACACGCCAACTCCTCAGCGAGTTTTGCTAGAGCATCGGCATGGGCATTACCTCCTCTAGGAATCCGATAGAAAGTCATATTGGGGATCTGCTCCAACAACTTCATTGTGTGTTGATGGTATTCTGCTAATCTTGGTTTCAAAATTTTATATTGTCTGGCGACTTGCTGGATGATGAGTTGAGAGCCGCCATAAATGACAATTTTTGTTATATCCATTGAGATTGCCACTTCCAACCCGGTGATTAAAGCATCATATTCTGCTTCATTGTTGGTGCACGACTCTGTTAGGTGGCATGAGAACCTTAACATACCCTTATCTGGCATGATAAAGATCAAACCGTTCCCTGCTTTGCCTGATATAACTGTGTCTGGTCTTTTGTCTTTTCTGGCTGACGAAGCACCGTTGAAGTACATCTCCCAGTGTTGCACACTGGAGAATTTCATTTGTAGTATTTTCTCATCTAGTAACTTGTCCTTGAGAGAAGACTCAGCTGACAGTGGGTGTACAACGAGAAAATCTACTGGTATTTATCCCTTGATAGTATGGAGGGGAACAAAAGTTATATCAAATTGCAATAAGATCATTGACCATCTTGCTAAACGTCCTGAGAGTGTTGGTCGAGTCATCAAATATTGTAATGGATTAACTTTCGAGATTAGGGTAATCTTATGAGAAAACATGTAATGTCTAAGTTTTTGAGCGGCAAAAATTAACGCCAGACAATGCTTCTCAATAGGTGGATACCTTATCTTCGTCGTTATTAAGCAACGACTCAAGTAGTAGAGTGCATTTTCTTTACCATTGTCATTGACTTGGGCTAAGAGGGCTCCAAGAGAGTCATCTAAGGCCGTGGTATAAAGTATCAACGGTTTCCCTGGACTAGGGGCTGCTAAAATAGAATGTGTCATTAGATATTGTTTAACATCCTCAAAGGTTCGCTAGCATTTCCCTTCCCAAACAAATTTGGCATCCTTTTTAATTAATGCTAAGAAAGGCTGACACCTACCTGAGAGATTAAAAATAAGGCTTCTCAGATATGCTAACTTCCCTTAGAAGGAACGTAGTTGTTTCAAGGTTTTAGGAGGAGGCATTTCTAAGGTAGCTTTAATTTTATCCGGGTTGATCATGATTCCCCAATGACGAACAATAAATCCCAGATATTTCCCTGAAGTAATGCCGAAGGTGCACTTTAAGGGATTCATTTTAAGGTCATATCGTCGTAATCGTTCAAACACGGTCCTCAAATCGTTTAAATGGTCTATTTTTGATTTACTTTTGATGACCAAATCATTCACATAGCATTCTACTTGGTTATGGATGAGGTGTCAAAAATCTTCTTCATTGCACCCTGATATGTTGCTCCGGCTTGCTCCTGCTCCGGCATTCTTTAGGCCGAACGACATCATTGTGTAGCAGAAAATTCCAATTGGTGTTCTGAAGGCTGTAAGTGCTGCATCCTTGGAGCCATCTTGATTTGGTTGTATCCTAACGATCAGTCCATGAAGGAGAGAATTTCGTGTGTTTAAGAGATATCCACCAACATTTCTGGTATTGGTAGTGGAAACTCATCTTTTGGACATGCCTTGTTCAAATACCTGAAGTCTACACAAACATGGATCCGTCCATTTTTCTTCTTAACAGGTACAATGCTAGCTAACCACGTGGGATATTTTTTGTCTTTGACAAAGCTGGTGTCTATTAATTTCTTCACCTCAGCGATGACTTGTTGTTCTATTTTGAGGCACATTCTCCTGGGAGCTTGTTTTACTGGGGTTATATTCTTGTCCACCCCGAGTTGATGAACTGTAACCTTTGCTAACAGTCTTGGCATTTCATCGTAGCTCCATGTAAAGCAATCTTTGAATTTTGTTAATAGTTTGATCAATTCTGAAGATTCTTCGTCATTAAGTAAAGAACTTATAAATGTAGGTCGGGGCTGTTCTTCAGTCCCGAGGTTAATCTCTTTCAATTCATCAACGGTAGATTTATTTTCCTCCTCAAATTCTGGAGCATCTTCTATT